TCAATTCTCAAAATCACTCCCAAACAGGCTCATAATTTCCACTTTTCGCATTAGACCATACGGGCCCTTTCCAGTATAAGCCCAAGGCCCAAATCTACTTGAACCGATCAATTTCCATATATAACTTCACAAAGCTACTGGAAATGGAAAAGTGTAGCAATCGAGCGTCGAGAGCTCTCCCTCCAAATCATTTTCACTCCTTAGGGTTTTCTGAAATTCTACATCAAAACCCATCAGCTATAACATAGCTAGGGCATGTTACTGAATCTCTACATCGATTGAAAAAGAAAGAGATGCCGCTGTTTTTATCAGAGAACGAATTCCAGCAATGCTCGCACGATGCATCGCTGGTAGCGGAGAAGGCGGATTCATTCATACGAGGACTATACAATCAACTCGACACCGTGAAAGCGGAGGCAGACGCAGCCTCCATCACCGCCGAGCAGACGTGCTCTCTTCTCGAACAGAAATACATTTCTCTCACTGCGGAATTCACCGCCCTACAATCACAGCACTCGCAACTTACATCCTCTGTCGATGAAAGAGCCTCGGAGCTTCAACAACTCCAATCTGAAAAGAAACAACTTGCTCTCCAATCCGTAAATTCGTCTTACTTATTCTAAGTGCTTATGTAATGTCCATTAACGCAATTGAGCGGTGACTAAAATTTAATAATTTTTCTGGTTTGGTGTTTTGTTTTGGCTACCAAAAAAGATCGAGAAAGACGGGGAGATTGAGAAGTTGACTAGGGAAGCCACAGAGCTTCACAAATCAAAGAGGCAATTGATGGAAATCCTTGAGGCGAAAGATTTAGAGATCAGTGAGAAAAATGCAACCATCAAGAGCTATCTGGATAAGATTGTATGTAACTCGTGCTTCATTCTTGATGTCCATCTGCACTTAATTATCATAATTCACAGGATATATGCTAATTCTATTGAAGTTTCATGCTTAATTTTACCGAATTTTAAAATTGCAGCCACTGCATAAATATTCTTTGGAATGTATTTTAGAGATGCATTAAAAAACGTGATGCTTTACAAAAAGTTTACGCCTAGCAGTTATTCGGCATGTTCTGTAGTAAACTCATACTTATACTGCCTTGTCTGAAGGTCAATTTGACTGAAAGTGCTGCATCAAGGGAAGCGCGGCTGGGCGATTTGGAGTCTGAATTGACACGCTCTCAAGCTTCATCTGCCCGTCTGATGCAGGTAAACTGAACTTTTCTTGAATACTATGCTCCTTCTGATTTAGTTGTTTAGATTAGACATGTTGATGGGTTTCTAGTTCATCTTGAGCTTGCAACTACATTTCCCCTGACTCTTAACCTATTGTCATATTCCTAACCATCAAAAAGGGTAGGTGTTTTCCTAAATAGTTGGCTACAACAGTTGTTCATAATGTGAACTAGTTTAATAAACACGTGCTTTTGTTTGTGGTCTGCCATGGGTCTGAACATAGAAAAATAAGAGAGGCGCCCCTGGCTTGAGTTAACGGGAGATGATGGAAACTTCGGTGGTTTAGTCATTCATTAACTGCTTGTTCACTAATCTCACCCGAGGGTTTTAGGAAATGATTACAGATATTAATTACGAAGTTATGTAATTTCAGTTAATCAAAAATCTCATAAGGTGCATATATGTGCCTTTGCCATATAACACTCTTTTCGATCTTGTTAGGACACTTAATTTGGTTCATAAATTAATGTATATAATCCGATTGTAATATTATCCACGTGTAAAATACAAGTATGCTTCATATATGTGGATGATCTTACATTATACTTTTGTTTTGAATTTAATGATACTCCCTCCATCAGCAGTTAGACGACGTAGATTTTACTTCTACTGAAAAATGGCCTCTTTTTATTGTGCTTCTTTCTGAGAGAACTTTAAACTTACAAATACAGGCATATTAAGATCAAAGTAA